GGTCCATACCAGTCCATACCAGTCCATACTGGTCCATACTGGTCCATACTGGTCCATACTGGTCCATACTGGTCCATACTGGTCCATACTGGTCCATACTGGTCCATACTGGTCCATACTGGTCCATACTGGTCCATACTGGTCCATACTGGTCCATACTGGTCCATACTGGTCCATACTGGTCCATACCAGTCCATACTGGTCCATACCAGTCCATACTGGGCTATACTGGTTTATACCGGTCCATACCAGTCCATACTGGTCCATACCGGTCCATACTGGTTCATACTGGTTTATACTGGTGCAGGAACTTCCACGTGTGGAACGACTGCTGGATGAAGCGGCCGGACCTGCCCGAGGGCTACGACGGCTGGCAGGTGGTGGACGCCACGCCGCAGGAGACCAGCAGCGGTACTGGGACAAACTGGTTATACTGGTTATACTGGTTATACTGGGTTGGACTGGGACATACTGGTTATACTGGTTATACTGGTTATACTGGTTTGGATTGGGTTGGACTGGGACATACTGGGTTATACTGGGTTATACTGGGCTATACTGGGTTATACTGGGTTATACTGGGCTATACTGGGTTATACTGGTTTGGACTGGTTTGGCCTGGGATGGGCGCGGGGCTCACTGGTTTGTACTGGTTTGGGGTTGGGGGTTACTGGTTTGTACTGGGAGGGACTGGGATGAACTGGGCGGGGGTTTGGGGGGCTGGGAGGGAGTTAAAGGGTTAAAAATGGGGGAAATGGGAGAAATCGGACTGGTTTGGACTGGTTTGGACTGGTTTATACTGGTTTGGACTGGTTTGGACTGGTTTGGACTGGTTAGGACTGGTTTGGACTGGTTTATACTGGTTTATACAGGTTTGGACTGGTTTGGACTGGTTTGGACTGGTTTATACTGGGATGAGATTGGGAGGGACTGGGAGGGGTTTAGGGTTACTGGTCTGTACTGGTTTGTACTGGTCTGGAATGGGTTTAATTGTTTGGACTGGTCCATACTGGTCCATACCGGACCATACTGGTTTACACCAGTTTATACTGGTCCATACTGGTTTATACTGGTTCATACTGGTTTATACTGGTTTACACTGGTCCGTATTGGTCCCATACTGGTCCGTACTGGTCTATACTGGTCCATATCATACTGGTTTATACTGGTTTACACTGGTCCGTATTGGTCCCATACTGGTCCGTACTGGTCTATACTGGTCCATACTGGTTTATACTGGTCCGTACTGGTTGACACCGGTTTATACTGGTCTATACTGGTTTATACTGGTCCATACTGGTCCATACCGGTCCATACTGGTCCGTACTGGTCTATACCGGTCCATACTGGTCCGTACTGGTCTATACCGGTCCATACTGGTCCGTACTGGTCTATACCGGTCCATACTGGTCCGTACTGGTCTATACCGGTCCATACTGGTCCGTACTGGTCTATACCGGTCCATACTGGTCCGTACTGGTCTATACCGGTCCATACTGGTCCGTACTGGTCTATACCGGTCCATACTGGTCCGTACTGGTCTATACCGGTCCATACTGGTCCGTACTGGTCTATACCGGTCCATACTGGTCCGTACTGGTCTATACCGGTCCATACTGGTCCGTACTGGTCTATACCGGTCCATACTGGTCCGTACTGGTCTATACCGGTCCATACTGGTCCGTACTGGTCTATACCGGTCCATACTGGTCCGTACTGGTCTATACCGGTCCATACTGGTCCATACTGGTCCCGCGCTCCCAGGCCTGTTCTGCTGCGGGCCGTGCTCCGTCACCGCTGTCAAGAACGGCGACGTTTTCCTCAAGTACGACACGCCCTTCGTCTTCGCCGAGGTGGGCGGGGCTAATTATGCAAATGAGCGCATAATTAGCTTCCTTAGTACCTACGATTAATAACGCCCAGGGGGTGGCGGTGGGTAATTATGCAAATGAGGGGGGCGGTTATGGAAATGAGGGGGGAAACAACAAAGGGTTCTGGTGGGGAGGGGTGGGCGTGGCCTGATTATGCAAATGAGGCGTTAATGAGGCGGATGGGGAGGGTGAATTAATGCTGCTGGTGGATGGTTGGGTGTTAGCTATGCAAATGAGGGGTTAATTGCGGTAATGAGCCGGTGAGCAATTAGCGTGCTCTAATGTTGGGGTGGTGGGTGTGGCCTCAATATGCAAATGAGGGATGCATTAGGCTAATTAATATGAACATTTAATGGTGGTGTGGGGTGAAAAATGATTATGCAAATGAGAGCGTTAATTATGGAAATGAGCCCCTCAGCAATCAGGATTGAGCTCTTAGGCGTGGCCTAAATATGCAAATGAGGGCTTGATTATGCTAATTAATAGGTGTGATAATGCTGCTGCTGAGGGGTGGAACTAATTATGCAAATGAGGGGAGATAATTATGGAAATGAGCAATGAGGGTGCGCTGGCGGGTTGAGGTGGAGGCGTGGCCTCTGTATGCAAATGAGACTGTTAATTATGCAAATCAGCTGGTGGGAAACATTGTGAAGCGGCAGTGGTGGCTTCTGGTGGGCGTGGCCTAATTATGCAAATGAGACCGGGTGTGGGTTACATGCGCTAATTAACGCTAACGAGGTGGTTAATTATGCAAATGAGCAGGAGAACGGCGGCTTCTGGTGGTGGGCGTGGCCTCTGTATGCAAATGAGACCAGGGGCAGGTTTGTTCTGCTAATTATGCTAATGACTGGCTGATTAATGAGGTGATTAATTATGCAAATGAGTGTGTAAATAGTGACAAGGCGTACAGGCCTGAATATGCAAATGAGGGCTTAATGGCACTAATTAGAGGGGTAATTAGCCCTACTGATAAACGGGGTTAATTATACTATTTAATTAAGTATGCTAATTAGGTGATTAATTATGCAAATGAGGTGTGCTGGCGGCTGCAGGGATGTGCCCTAATTTTGCCAACCAGGGGTTAATTATCCCAATTAGAAGCCGCAATTAACTCTGTTGCTGAGTGAGTGATAATGCACGCAAATGGGCTCATAGAATATGCAAATGAGCTCATAGAATATGCAAATGAGGCAGGCGAACCACGTGGGGCAGCTGTGATGGGCCCCACCTAATTACGCAAAACCTGGGGCTAATTACCCTAATTAAGAGCCACAACTTATTCTCCAATTTCGTGGGTGATTCGATATGCAAATGAGCTCATCATATATGCAAATGAGGCCCTGGCAGCAGCAGCTGACAACCCCTAATTAGGCAAAACCTGGAGTTAATTACCCTAATAATAATAAAGCATAATTAATGGCGCTGCAGAGGGGAGTTACTAATGATGCTAACCGCCTAATTAATATGCAAACGAGCTGAATAATTATGCAAATTCCAGGTGAGCAGCCACAAGCTGCACGGGACATTCCTTAATTACACAACACCTGGGGCTAATCACCCTAACAACAAAACGTAATTAACAGCGCTGCTGAGGGCGCTTATGAGCGATTCTAGAGGAGCCCGAAATATGCAAATGAGCTCATTAATTATGCAAATTCCATACTGGTCCGTACTGGTTTATACTGGTCCATACTGGTTTATACTGGTTTATACTGGTCTATACTGGTCCATACTGGTTTATACTGGTCCATACTGGTCCATACTGGTCCCGCGCTCCCAGGCCTGTTCTGCTGCGGGCCGTGCTCCGTCACCGCTGTCAAGAACGGCGACGTTTTCCTCAAGTACGACACGCCCTTCGTCTTCGCCGAGGTGGGCGGGGCTAATTATGCAAATGAGCGCATAATTAGCTTCCTTAGTACCTACGATTAATAACGCCCAGGGGGTGGCGGTGGGTAATTATGCAAATGAGGGGGGCGGTTATGGAAATGAGGGGGGAAACAACAAAGGGTTCTGGTGGGGAGGGGTGGGCGTGGCCTGATTATGCAAATGAGGCGTTAATGAGGCGGATGGGGAGGGTGAATTAATGCTGCTGGTGGATGGTTGGGTGTTAGCTATGCAAATGAGGGGTTAATTGCGGTAATGAGCCGGTGAGCAATTAGCGTGCTCTAATGTTGGGGTGGTGGGTGTGGCCTCAATATGCAAATGAGGGATGCATTAGGCTAATTAATATGAACATTTAATGGTGGTGTGGGGTGAAAAATGATTATGCAAATGAGAGCGTTAATTATGGAAATGAGCCCCTCAGCAATCAGGTGGATTGAGCTCTTAGGCGTGGCCTAAATATGCAAATGAGGGCTTGATTATGCTAATTAATAGGTGTGATAATGCTGCTGCTGAGGGGTGGAACTAATTATGCAAATGAGGGAGATAATTATGGAAATGAGCAATGAGGGTGCGCTGGCGGGTTGAGGTGGAGGCGTGGCCTCTGTATGCAAATGAGACTGTTAATTATGCAAATCAGCTGGTGGGAAACATTGTGAAGCGGCAGTGGTGGCTTCTGGTGGGCGTGGCCTAATTATGCAAATGAGACCGGGTGTGGGTTACATGCGCTAATTAACGCTAACGAGGTGGTTAATTATGCAAATGAGCAGGAGAACGGCGGCTTCTGGTGGTGGGCGTGGCCTCTGTATGCAAATGAGACCAGGGGCAGGTTTGTTCTGCTAATTATGCTAATGACTGGCTGATTAATGAGGTGATTAATTATGCAAATGAGTGTGTAAATAGTGACAAGGCGTACAGGCCTGAATATGCAAATGAGGGCTTAATGGCACTAATTAGAGGGGTAATTAGCCCTACTGATAAACGGGGTTAATTATACTATTTAATTAAGTATGCTAATTAGGTGATTAATTATGCAAATGAGGTGTGCTGGCGGCTGCAGGGATGTGCCCTAATTTTGCCAACCAGGGGTTAATTATCCCAATTAGAAGCCGCAATTAACTCTGTTGCTGAGTGAGTGATAATGCACGCAAATGGGCTCATAGAATATGCAAATGAGCTCATAGAATATGCAAATGAGGCAGGCGAACCACGTGGGGCAGCTGTGATGGGCCCCACCTAATTACGCAAAACCTGGGGCTAATTACCCTAATTAAGAGCCACAACTTATTCTCCAATTTCGTGGGTGATTCGATATGCAAATGAGCTCATCATATATGCAAATGAGGCCCTGGCAGCAGCAGCTGACAACCCCTAATTAGGCAAAACCTGGAGTTAATTACCCTATTAATAATCAAGGATAATTAATGGCGCTGCAGAGGGGAGTTACTAATGATGCTAACCGCCTAATTAATATGCAAACGAGCTGAATAATTATGCAAATTCCAGGTGAGCAGCCTCAAGGTGCACGGGACATTCCTAGCCCCAAGGTGGCGCCCTAATTAAACAAACCAGGGGTTAATTACCGTAATTGGGAGGCAGAGTCAACCCAGCAGCCGAGGAGGCTAGGCGTTATGCAAATTAGCTCATTAATTATGCAAATCCCAGGTGAACAGCGACAAGGTGTACTGGCAGCGGCAGCCCCAAGCGGGGAATGATGGTGACATCCTAATTAGACGAACCAGGGTTAATTACCTTAATTGGGAAGCAGAGTTAATCCGGCACCTGAGGAGGCTGATTACCATGCAAATGAGCTCATTAATTATGCAAATGGCAGGTGAACAGCGACAAGGTGTACTGGCAGCGGCAGCCCCAAGGTGGCGCCCTAATTAAACAAACCAGGGGTTAATTACCCTAATTAGGAGGCAGAGTCAATCCAACAGCCGAGGAGGCTAACCATTATGCAAATGAGCTCATTAATTATGCAAATCCCAGGCGAACAGCCCCAAGCTGCACTGGCAGCGCCAGCCCCAAGGTGGCGCCCTAATTACACAAACCAGGGGTTAATTACCCTAATTAGGAGGCAGAGTCAACCCAGCAGCTGAGGAGGCTGATTACCATGCAAATGAGCTGATTAATTATGCAAATGGCAGGTGAACAGCGACAAGGTGCACTGGCAGGGGCAGCCCCAAGGTGGCACCCTAATTAAACAAACCAGGGGTTAATTACCGTAATTGGGAGGCAGAGTCAACCCAGCAGCCGAGGAGGCTAGGCGTTATGCAAATTAGCTCATTAATTATGCAAATGGCAGGTGAACAGCCCCAAGCTGCACTGGCAGTGCCAGCCCCAAGGGGGGATGACGGTGACATCCTAATTAAAGAAACCAGGGGTTAATCACTCTAATTAGGAGGCAGAGTCAACCCAGCAGCCGAGGAGGCTGATTACCATGCAAATGAGCTCATTAATTATGCAAATTCCTGGCGAAGAGCCCCAAGCTGCACTGGCAGTGCCAGCCCAAGGGGGGATGACAGTGGCACAATAATTGCACAAACCAGGGGTTAATTACCCTAATTAGGAGGCAGAGTCAATCCAACAGCCGAGGAGGCTAACCATTATGCAAATGAGCTGATTAATTATGCAAATGGCAGGTGAACAGCGACAAGGTGTACTGGCAGCGGCAGCCGCACGGCGGATTCGCCGTGGTGCACGTGGAGGAGGGCGCGATCGGCCGCAGGATCAGCACGCTGGGGGCCGGCTCTGCGGCCAGAGTGGACATCACTGACCAGTACAAACACCCCGAGGGTCAGTGAGTGACCACGAGTGACCACTGAGTGACCACTGAGTGACCAGTGAGTGACCACTGAGTGACCACTGAGTGACCACTGAGTGACCACTGAGTGACCATAGAGTGACCACTGAGTGACCGCTGACCACTGAGTGACCCTGAGTGACCATAGAGTGACCACAGAGTGGCCGCAGGATCAGCACGCTGGGGGCCGGCTCTGCGGCCAGAGTGGACATCACTGACCAGTACAAACACCCCGAGGGTCAGTGAGTGACCACGAGTGACCACTGACCCTGAGTGACCACTGAGTGACCCTCAGTGACCCTGAGTGACCACTGAGTGACC